GAATGCAGAAATTATCAAAAAATACCATTAATATATCACATGCCAAATAAAATTTGGCTGAAGATGATTCAAAAACAGTTCCAGCAGTACATCAACAGGTAACTGCCAGAAAGTAAAGACAGATTCAGAAGAGGTCATGGAACAAAGGATGTCATTGCTGATGTCAAAGGGATCTTGGCTGAAAGCAAAGAACACCAGAAAGATGTTTTCAAACTCACTGTCATAGTGTCGATTCTGACTCACAGTGAGTCTACAGGACAGAGTAGAACTGTCTTACAGAGTTGCCAAGACCGTAAATCTTTATAGAAGCAGACTGCTGCATCTTTCTCCCATGGAGCAGCTGGTGAAGTTGAACTGCCAACCTTTTGGTTAGCAGTTAGGGTATATGCTGTAACCACAGCACCACCAGAGCTCCTAGAAAATGTTTACCTGTGTTTCACTGACTTTTAAAATCATTGACTGTGGATCATGACAAATTATGGATAACATTGTGAAGAATGGGAATTCCATCATGGAGAATAGAAGGGCTATGTATGCACAGAGTGACAACTGGGGCAGGGGCAGGAGTGCATGGGAGGGAATGACACAGGGAAGAAGTGGCGATGGGGAGGAAGTGGGAGGGGAGCCGTTGCATTGTGGAAGATTACAGTCAATGTCATGAGACAAAATGTATGTGAACTGCTGTATGGAGGATGAATTTGCTCCGCAAACTTTCACCCAAATCACAATAAAATTAAAAAAAAAAAAAGAATGGGAATTCCAGAACAATTAATTGTGCCATGAAGAACCTATACATACACCAAGAGACTGTTGTTTGAACAAAAGAAGGGTTTAAAATTAGGAAGGGTGTGTGCTAGGGCTGTATCCTTTCACAGTACTTACTCAACCTGTATGCTGAGCAAATAATGCAAGAAGCTGGACTATATGAAGAAGAACGTGGCATGAGGATTGGAGGAAGCCTTATTAACAACCTGCAATATGCAGATGGCACAACCTTGCTTGCTGAAAGTTAAGATGACTTGAATCACTTACTGATGAAGATCAAAGACTACAGCTTTTGTATGGATTATACCTCAACGTAAAGAAAACAAAAATCCTCACAACTAGACCAATAAGCAACATCACAATAAATGAAGAAAAGATTAAAATTGTCAGGGATTTCATTCTACTTGCATCCAGTGAATACCCATGGAAGTAGCAGTCAAGAAACTAGACATTGTATTTCACTAGGCAAATTCTGTTGCAAAAGACCTTTTTAAAGTGTTAAGGAGCAAAGATGTGACTTTGAAGCGTAACCCAAGCCATGGTATTTTCAATTGCCTCATATGCATATGAAAGCTGGATAATGAATAAGGAAGAACAAATAAGAGCTGACACCTTTGAATTGTGGTGTTGGTGAATAAAACTAAAAGTACCATGGACTGCCAGAAGGAACAAATTTGTCCTGGAAGGACAGATGGAATATTCCTTAGAAGCGAAAACAGCCAGACTTCTTTGCACCTATTTTGGTCACGTTGTCAGAAGGGACCAGTCCCTGGAGAAGGATATCATGCTTGGTAAATAGAGTGTCAGCGAAGAAGGGGAAGACCTTCGATGGTATGGATTGAAAGGTGGCTGTAACGATGGGCTCAGGCATAGCAAGGATTATGAGGATGGAGCAGGACCAGGCAATGTTTTGTTCTACTATACATAGGGTCTCTATGAGTCCGAGCCAACTCGATGGCACCCAACAACAACAACTAACAGAAGCTTGATGGTGCAAAGGTTAAGTGCTTGACTGCTAACCGAAAGGTCTGCAGTTTGAACCCACCAGCAGCTCCCTTAGGAAAAAAAAAAAAAAAAAAAAACTGGTGATGTGCTCTCTTAAAGATTACAACCTTGTTGTTGTTATGTGCCATTGACTTGGACCTGACTCATAGTTAAGGAAGTCCGTCACATCACAAGTAAGTGAGAGGCAGTATTCCACAACATGCCACTTCAAACCCAGAGCTAGGAAATGCTGAGTGACCTTACAAAAGGCTGAATGAGTTCACTTCCTTAATTTAGATTTGTTTGTTGTCAGCAAGAGAGCAAAACCAATAGTACCTGGCAATGCTCAATTATAAATGTTCTCATCTGGACTGTGCTTTCTCCTTATGAGAAGTAAAGGAAGGGAAAAATTATGAAAATTGATACCACCCTCCATTCCCATCCAAAATGTGTGTTTGTGCAATGATAGACAGATAGATCAATGGAACAGAATCAGAAGTCTAGAAATAGACCCGTCCATCAATGGACAGCTCTTTTACAAAGGTCGAAAACCCATTAAATGGGGAAAAGACAGCCTCTTGAACAAAAGGTGCTGGCAAAACTGGCTATCCACTTGCAGAAAAGTGAAACAAGACCCACACCTCACCCCATTCATAAAAACAAACTCAAGCTGGATCAAAGACTTAAATGTAAAACTCAAAACTATAAAATTCATCAAAGATAAAATAGGGGCAAATCTAGGAGCCCTAATTTATGGCATAAATAGACTATCAAATATAACCCAGAATGCACAGGAGGTAGAAGAGAAGCTAGATGACTGGGACCATTTAAAAATTAAATTCTTATGCGCATCGAAAGACTTCATCAAAAGGGTAAAAAGAGAACCTACAGACTGGGAGAAAATATTTGCCTATGACATATCTGAAAAAGGACTTATCTCCAAAATCTATAGAAAACTTTAACACCTCAACACCAAAAAGACAAACAACTCAATTCAAAAATAGGCAAAAGACTCAGACGCTTCGCTGAAGACGATATGCTGGCAGCCAACAAACATACAAGGAACTGCTCGCTATCTTTAGTCATTAGAGAGATGCAAATAAAAATAATGATGAAATATCATCTCACCCCAGCAATAATAGCAAAGTTCAACAGGACAGAAAATAACAAATGCTGGTGAGTTGGTAGGGAGGTTGGAACTCTTGTGCACTGCTGGTGGGATTGTAAAATGGTACAACCATTGTGGCAAACGGTATGGTGTTTCAGAAATACCATTTGACTCAGCAATTCCATTACTAGGACTATATCCTAAAGAGGAGAGAGGCAGGGCACGAACAGACATATGCACACCTATGTTCATCACAGCACAATCCACTATAGCAAAGAGAAGGAAACAACCTAAATGCCCATCGACGGATGAATGGATAACCAAATTATGGTACATTCACACAATGGAATACTAAGCTAAATTAAAGAACAATGAAGGATAAGTGAATCATCTCACAACGTGGATGAGCCTGGAGGACATTATGCTGAGTGAAGTAAGTCAATCACAGAAGGACAAATACTGTATGAGCCCATTACTGTAAAAAGACAAAGGGTTTGCTTAACAAACGGAACTCACTTTGTAGATTACTGGGGTGAGGAGGGAAGGGGCACGGAAATGTGTTTGCCTCTGTCTTTCCCATTAGACTAAATTTTCAAAACTCAACAATTCCCACTAGATTGCAAAACAGTCAAGGACAAGACTGTGTCTTATTCCGTATCTATGTTTGCAATGTAATTCAATAAACGTTTTCTGGATGAAAGGTGGAATTCCCGGGTCTCTGCTGTTCTGCTGGCGTTCGTTGTTGTTATGTGCCGTGGAGTCAGACGAGACTCATAGCGACCCCTCCTTGGGTTTCCGAGGCATTATTACTATGGAAGTAGATTGCCTAACCTTCTTTCAGAGGAGTTGCTGGTGGGTTTGTACCGCCAGCCTTCGCGTTAGCAGTCAAGTGCACGTTTTGATGTCAAGTTCTCAAGAGCTTGGGACCATTTCCCTTTATAGGCATCTCAGAGATTATCCCCAGTGCTTAGCACAGTGCCTGGTATGCAGTCGGGGACAAAGGGCAAAGAGAGGACTTTTGTAGAAGATCCTCAAAGACCGCAATTTATGAAGCAGGGAAAGTGGGTAGCTGACAAGTGCAACCTACAGTGAAAAAATACTTGGGGAATAATCCCAATTCTTCCTGGGCAACTGTCAATATCTCTGGTAAATAAATCCCTTATTTCCAATTTTGTGGACTTGCGTGAACCTACGCTTCTCCAGTAGCGGAATACCACGAAGACTGAAACAGCGAGCCTGAGAGATTTAGAGCAGGAAACTAGGGGCCACACAAGACCCGGAATCTACTTCCCACGAACATATCCGCCCCCGTCGTCTAGCAACTCTGGGTCGATCACTCGGCGCTCGACCCGGCAGGATTGAGAAGCAGTATTCCCCACCCAGCCTTTCGCGACCCGCCCCGCTAGGCCCGGGTACCTATCGTGCGCACGCGCGGAAGAGGCGGGCCGAGCGCCGGAGCTGCTTACGAACCTGGGGGGAAGGGGTTGCACGTACGAGGGGCGGAACGGCGGGCGCCAGGAGTGGCTGAGGAGCCGGAAACGCGTCTTCGAGGGTGCGGCCCTGAGGAGGCGGCGGGCCGGGCGGGGAACGTTAGGCGAGCGGCCCCCGGGGCGCGGGGGGGTGGGGTGGACGGGCGGTCGGGGAGGGCTTAGCAGCGAGCTCTGTCCGGATGAGGAACAAAGCGGAGGGGCAGGCGTGCGCGCCCCCCGCGCGGCCGGCAGGTGGGCTGCGAGCGGGCCCGGTCAAGGCGGGGTGCGGCCTGCGGGCTCCACTCCGCAAGGCGGACGGACGAGGACTTGGCCGCCCGTGGGAAGCGGCGCCTGCGGCTCGTCAGGGGGCAAGGGCTGCGTCCTCCGTCGTTTTGGTGACCGTACTCGTTTCCCACAGGTTGGACAACGTCTCTCGCGAAGCTTCTGGAGGAAGAGCCCCAGGTGGTCCTCGGCATGCCCCATCCCCTGGCGGGGTGCGTGGCCGCCGGCCCTTGGGAGAAGATGGGCGGCCCCGGGCGGCCCCGGAGACGAGTAGCCGCGTTTGTGCAGCGGTTGTGAACTAGATGCGGTAGCACGTGACTTTGGAATGCAAACTCAAATGCCGGTTCTCAGCTACCCGTGTGGTCTTTTCTTTGACGCTTGGCCCCAAGTAGATGCATCACAGGTGAGTATGAAGGTGGGCTTAGTGCTGGTGACACCTTCGGAAAACATCTCAAAAATAAGAATTCAGAGTTGTTACCGTTGTGTTTGGTGCCATTGGAAGAGTTACAGGTGTGATTGCAAATGAATTCCAAAGGAAACAAGAAATCCAGAAACCAGCATTGGGTTGCATGTGTTGTCATCAACCAAATTTACTGCAAGTGGGAATATTCCTGTTGTTAAGTCCTGTGGGGCTGGTTGTCTTTCTGGTAAGGATAATGAGTTTGTATTGCTTTCTCCAAATCAAATATTTCATAGTGCCTACTCAGTTCAAGAGGAGTCCCTGGTAAAACTCTGTATAGGATCAAATTGACAGCAGCTCAGAAGGTTGGATAGGAAGCTCAGGGGACAGTGAGTTCATGGTAATAAGGAGGAAGTCAGAAAAGAAGAGTGAGAAGGTTGTGTACAGCTTTAAGAATGTAATCAGTATCACTGAATTGTACGTGTAGAAACTGTTAAGTTGGAGTTTGTTCTGCTCTGTTGATTTAAGAGGAGTCCTGAGGGATGCAGATGGTTAGTGTGCTGAGCTGCTGACCAGAAGGTTAGAGGTTCAGGTTCACCCAGAGGTGCCTTCGATGAAAGGTCTGTCAATACGTCCCAAAGATTTCAGCCAATGAAAACCCCTACGGAGCACAGCTCTACTCTCACACATGGGGTCACTATGAGCCTGAATCTGTTCTTTTCAAAGCTGTGTAGTCGACTGGCCTTGTATACCTTATTACTGTCTGGGAGCTCAGTTTTATGAGATACGTAGCTAGGTTAAGGATTGAAGCTATGGATACAGAATAATGGAGGAAGCAAGTCCATTTGTGACTTTAAATATACCATAAACCAGAAAAACCAAACTCAACTGCCATGAAGTCAGTTCCAACTCATAATGACCCCATTGGGTTTCCGAGGTGGTGAATCTTTGTGGAAGTAGATTGCACCATCTTCTTAGTGTGGAGTGGCTGGTGGGATTGAACCATCAATCTTCTGGTTAACAGTCAAATGCCTTAGGTGCTGTGCCACCAGAGCTCCTTAAATATACCATACAAGACTGTAAAATGGTGCAACCACTGTGGAGAACAGTATGGTGCTTTCTTAAAAAGCTGGAAATATAAATAGCATATGATCTAGCAATCCCACTATTAGGTATATCTTAGAGAAATAAGAGCTGCAACATGGACAGATGTGTGCACACCCATGTTCATCACAGCACTATTCATAATAGCAAAAAGATGGGAACATCCTAACTGCCCATCAGTGGATGAATGGTTAAACGAACTATGTACGTACACACAGTGTAATACTATATAATATTAAAGAACAACAATGAGTCTGTAAAACATCACTTAATGCGGATGAACATAGAGGACATGCTGAGTGAAATCAGTCCATCACAAGGGCATCACTTTGCCCATCAAAAGGGCAAGTATTGTTTGAGACCACTATTGTAAAAAGTCAAGAAAAGGGTTTCACACACACAAATATCCTTTGATGGTTACCAGGGGTGGGAGGTGAAGGTGGAGGGTAAACCACTAACTAAAGTTAGACACATTAACTTGGGTGAAGGGGAAGGCAATAATCAAAATAAATAAACAAATACACACCAGATACATACTAATGTATTGTATGTTGTTGTTATGTGCCGTCGAGTCAAACCCGACTCATAGCGACCCCTCCTTGGGTTTCCGAGGCAGTATCACTACGGAAGTAGGATTGCCCAACCTTCCTTCCGAGGAGTGGCTGGTGGATTTGAACCGCCATCCTTCTGGTTAGCAGGCAAGTGTCTTAGCCACTATGCTACCAGAGCTCCCACTAATGTATTAGAACTGTAAAACACAAAACAACTCCTGTAATTGTCATTTTTACTGTAGTTAAGAGCTTGGGTTTCTTAGATTAGCCTTACCTGTATTTAAATCCCATCTCAGCCACTTACTAGGTATGTGATCTTGGGTTAAGTTTCTTAGTTTGAGTCTTAATTTCCTTGTCTCTGAAATTGGATTAAGAATAATACCTACCTCTTAGTAGTTGGAAGGACTGAGTGAGATTAATATATATAAATCCTTAGCTCAGTGTCTGGCCCATAATGCAGAAGTAATAAATACTAGCTATTATTATTTTCAGGTCTTTTCATGGCTGATACTGTTTTTTCAGAATTAAAAATCTATTTAGTTTTGTTCTCACTGTGGATTGTATATGTAATCCCCACCCTCACATAGACATAAGCCAAAAACGTACTGCCATCAAGTTGATTCCAACTCATAGCGACCTTATAGGACAGATTTGAACTGCCTATAGGGTTTCCTCAGCTGTGTAAATCTTTACGGAAACAGACTGCTTCATCCATCTTCCCCTAGAGCAGCTGGTGGATTTGAACTGCCAACTTGGTTGGTTAGCAGATGAATGTTTAGCCACTGCACCACTAGAGCTCCTTCACGTATAACAAACAAACAAAAATACCCAAACCCACTGTCATCGAGTTGATTCTGACCCATAGCGACCTCTGTAGGGTTTCCAAGGCTGTAAATCATCACGGAAGTAGATTGCCCTGTCTTCCTTCTGCGGAGCGTCTGATGGGTTTGAACTGCCAGCCTTTTGGTTAGCAGTCAAATGCCTTAGGCACGGCGCCATGAGAGCTCCATACACACACACACACACACACACACACACGTGGGCACCAAAAAACAAACCACCAAACCTACTGCTGTCAAGTCAGCTCTGACTCAGGCACACAAGGAAAGTATGCATTACTGTGATATTCAGTAAAAGGACAAGATTGTTAGACCTCCTTTGGATAGCCTGCTGGCCAGCCTCTTAGAATTCTGTCATATATAAGGTGACAATCTCTAAATCCTGATATAATAGCTAATACTTACAGATAACCATGTTTAATAATGTGTTTAAATCTGTGGCATTCATTCTAATAAGATTTTTAATGGCAAGATGATTTGCATAGGAAACATGGTTCTCAGATTCTTCAACCTACCAAAAATTGTCTGTAGATAGAAAGGTTTGATATCGTGGAAAACTTTTTGGCAGTATTTTGCAGCATAATTTGTGCTCTTTCACTTTAATTGCTCTGTGATTTTGGGCATGTGACTTAACCGTTCTTTGAGTCTTAATTTCCTCATCTACCTTACTTTGGAGGGCTGGTGTGAGAATTTGAAGTAATTGTTCATAAAGTATCTAGCAAAGCTTATATAATGCACCTCAATATGTAGAGGACATTATGAAGACTTCAGAGATAGAATTTTGATAAAATGTTGATCTATGGGGAAAATACGGTGCTTCTTTACAACGTTGGTCATCTGATTCAGACCCAGGGTCGCTGTTACTCCTGGTGAAAAGGATTAGTCATATTTCTTTAAGTAGGTATAAATTAGTAAATCAACTGCCTGTAAAACTGGTGGTTTGAAATAGCAAAGCAATCAGAGAAAATATTCTGAAAGAAGAAAACTTGGATGACTTTAAAAAACTCATTGCCAATGTACTCTGAAGGTTGCAAACTTTGGTTTTGATGGTATGTGTGGGGTTTGGATCAAGGTTCAAATCCTGTTTCTACCTCTTTACTAGTTACGTGACATTGACTAAGTTAATGTCTCTACATCCCAGTTTCTTTATCCGTAGAAAAAGGATGTTAACTTTAGAATTGTGGGCATAAAAATGAAGTCATAGTTGATCAGGTCCCCATTTCTCACCCCCGTTGTTTCAGGCTCTCCGGTATCTTAAAACAGAGTCATTGAGGTAATTTTTTGCATAATCACTTGGTGTGCTGTTTCCTAGGATGAATGAAATGAACCTGAGCCCTGTGGGGATGGAGCAGCTGACTTCATCCTCTGTGAGCAATGCCTTGCCAGTCTCAGGAAGTCACCTGGGCTTGGCTGCCTCACCCACTCACAATGCCATCCCTGCTCCAGGTGAGTGGTAAAGAAGGGCAACCACATTTCAACACTTAATGCATTTTCAGTTCTAAACAGAGAATAGGGGGTGTCAGAGCCCCTTTCAAGATGGAAGGGAGAAGCCAAGCAGGCCTGAATGTAGGTAGTTCTACATTTTATAAGCTGTAGTAGAAGAAAATGCTTTTGTAGAGAACTGGAGTTTCATGGATAGGAATAGCAGTTTTCCTGATAGTCCTTTTCTTGAGCAGTATTTGATTTGGTGTTTTATCTAGGGTTACCTTTTTATCTGGTTTTTGTCTTGGCACCTTGTCCCTGGATTAATGGAGGAAAATAATTTAAAGTTGCTCAGATAACATCCCAGAAAGCATAAGGAATTGGGCTTTATTTACTACTAGGTCTAAAACTGAATGGCTACACTTGCAAGTGCACCAGGCCTAAAATTATGGGGAAAATAGGTACCAGAGATGGAGCTCTCCGGTGGCCCTCCCCAGAGCTTCTGTACTCAGAAGGATGGCATAGGGAAAGCACATTCTTCCCATCACTAAACTTCTAAGAACACTTTACTGCCTATTTTCATTTTCTTTTTCTGTTGAAATGGAAGGGCGCTCTGGTGGTACTGTGGTTAAGGCATTGGGCTGCTAACCAAAAGGTTGGTGGTTCAAACGCAGCAGCTGCTTGTAGGAGAAAGATGAGGCAATCTGCTTCCATAAAGATTTATAGCCTTGGAAACCCAGTGAGAGTCACTGTGGCAGTGGGTTTGGTTTGGTTTTGTCAATTGAAGTGGAAAAGGTAAGGATAAGCCATTGGTTCTTATGGGTTCTTAAGGATTTGTGACATTGCAATGTATTACACTGTATCAAAAAGCAGGAGTTAACGTATATTTTCAAGAAATTTATTAAGTTGTTTACTGAGTTCTCTATAGAAAATTACCTGCTCAATTAGCAAAATGTAGCAGTTAAATACAGTTCATCTAATCTAAGGTCTCTTCACATTCTTTTAAGTGTCCCTGAAAGAAATTTTGTTTTCTTGTGTGTTGTTAGCCCATTTGATTTGTCTCTTAGGCATTCCTTTTAGTGGATACTTTTGTTATGGAGGAAAGTCCTTTTTAAAAACATCTGCCTGGCAGAAATCTGTGAATGAGCACTGCTCAAGTTGGTGAGCATTCATTAGGCTACTTTGGGACATCAGACACATCACCACTGCGAATAGATACATCCACAGAGGATATAATCTAAGGGGTAACATTTGTTTACACTGTAATGTACAGTATGTATGCAAAAGACTGTATGGAAGTGTATATATACAGATTACATCTAAATTTAAATTATTGTTTTAAATTGAAGCTTATCTGTGATTATTTTAAAAGTGAAGCATTCTCATGTAAAGTAGAAAATGCTGTGAAGTACAAAAGTAAAAAACCTATATTCCAAATATCACTACTCAGAGACCATTCCTGTGAAGAATTTGTTAGGTGTCCTCCCATTCTTTTTTTGTCTATAATTTGTTTTCCTAAATTATATTTAAACTAGGTTTTTAATGATAAAATAAATGTTTTGTTACTTAAGAGCAGTATAGGTAAATGGAGGATCAACTTGGTATTTTGTAGCAACCCTGTAGGACAGGGTGGAACTGCTCCATAGGGTTTCCAAGGCTGTGATCTTTGTGGAAGCTGACTGTCTCATCTGCAGCTTGTGGGTTCAAACTGCTGACCTCTCAGTTAACAGCCAGCCACTTAACTGCTGTACCACCAGGGATCTTTTACAAACTAACTTTAGGATTAAGACTACTTTGTTTAATTCTATTTATGGATGTCTGTAGAAAACTACCTATCAAGGGATAAAAAAGAGTCCTTTTCCTTTTTAAATGCAGAGTGCCAGCTCAGATTTTTACCCAGTTGCAAAAACCTTTCTAGGAATTTAGCCAGGGATTATAGAGAATTTTTTTTTAAATATTTATTTTCCTTTGATCCTTTTTTGGTTCATAAGCATCATGATTGGGTATTCATACCTTTCTGTGACGTGCCTCCCTCAAATCTTACTACGACATCATCACATTATCTGTCTGATGTGAAAAAAATTATTTTCCTTTAATTGAGAAATTATTATTATTGTTATTTTCTTAATAGGCCTGCCAGTAGCTATTCCAAACCTTGGTCCTTCCTTGAGTTCTCTGCCTTCTGCTTTGTCTCTGATGCTCCCAATGGGTATTGGCGATCGAGGGGTGATGTGTGGGTTACCAGAAAGAAACTATACCCTACCTCCATCACCTTACCCTCACCTGGAAAGCAGTTACTTCAGAACCATTCTACCTGGTAAGTATTACAGTTATTTGGGCATTAGAAAAAAAGGAGAGAGCCAACTTTTAGCTTTAATTCTTAATAGTTTCTTTTCTTACATTGTATTTTGACTAGTGTTTTTTTTCCCTTCTTTCTTTATTTTGCTTGTAACTATTATGTATTAATGTCTAGGTGAGAAAAAAAAAAGTTGTTTATATTTGTATACTTTTCTTCAAATGTCCGGATACCACATTGTTAATATACCACTTGACTAAGTTTAACTTCTAAATGGCACATAAACGATTTCGTTCTTTCTCCTGCATCACCTAAGTTCTGTTTTTATAATTCTGCAATTACAATTCCTATTAACCACATCTTTTTTTTTTTTTTAGGATTTGGGTGAAGATTTACAGAGTAAATTCACTTTTCATACAGCAGTTCACATATACTTTGTCTCATGTCATTGACCAAAATTT